CATATCCATACAATAGGCTATACTTCTATCCTGGTGTGAGCCCAATTCAGTTCCTGCTAGCTTACTATTTTCTAATAGATGTCTTTTTATGTGTAGTAAACCTGAGTTTTAATGCAAAACACTTTCTAAACTTTACATAAAACAGTAAAGTGTAATTCAACAAAGAAAACTTACTCACACGAGGTGGAGTCACTGATGCCCCCAACAACACTACTAACACCTCTGCTAAGTATAGAAAAAAATACATGTAAATCTACAGGAACATTGCATTAGATTTTCTTTTTACCTAAAATGTACTAACTAGTTAAAAGTATATTTTGGAATTACAGTGTTTAATTGTAAGTCTTTATTTTGTTAAGCATGGTTTGGATTTGCATTGGATGTTCTCAGATCAGGGCTTTTTCACCATGACACCAAAGCAAATCCCTTGTATGTGTAAACCAATACACTTGATTGTGATTGTGATTTAAGATGAAGACAGAGAATTTGTTGGAATAAAATCAAAAAAAAAAAATCACTTGGTTGCCTTTTTGTTGTTGTTGATGTTTTATTTTTGTAGTTAGTTATGCTGCTTATATGATGCTCTTATTGTGAAGCCCTTATCCACTTTAACGTTTTGAAAAAAGCTATTTAATAGTAAATACCTCTTTATAACCGTAATTAATTATATTTTGTGGCAACATCGGATTACATAAATGGTATGTTGCACTGTCAGACTAAAGTGAAGAAGAGTGACTGGATGAATTCTCAAGAATCCATTGTATTGCTATTTTTTGCAGCCACACTGGTTTCCATGGCATTAAAACACAAAAAATAAAGAAAAAAAGGTTCCCAATTCAAAGCAAATGGTTGGTCTTTGTTATGGGTCATTTGGATAATTGCCTTTTGGATGTGTCTGCTGCTGTATGCCGGGAAGCTGACATCAGAGCAGAGGAATGTCTCTGCTGAAGACCCTGCGGACTGTGGGCGGGTCGCAGCGCTGTGTCACTCTCTGGTGCTGAGGAGCCGCAGAAACCAGAAACCCACCGGAGGAGGCAAGAGAAACACCTAAACGCGGATTACCGATATTCAATATTTTATCTCCTGTTTTTGAGGCTTTATTTTCTCAGCAGCAACATGTTTTCAATGTGTCCAAAAACGTTGCTGTTGCTTCTGGTCGGTGCCTGTGCTGCCTCGGCTGCAGGCAACAGCGGTAAGAGGACTTTCATTCACTTTGTATTCATTTAAAGCAGCGTATTTAATAGGACAGATTGAATGATGTGGGCCCAAAATATATTCAGATTTGATCTTTAAAAAATGACTGAAACCATTAATCCAAATAATATGTTTTCATTATTCTTTTTTAAATACATTTCTCTAACAAATGGCTAATTGATTTACGGCTGAAACTACAATATCTATTATTTCAATCATCAATAAAGCTGCTGATAATACTCCTAAATTAATAATATTGTCTACAATTCACCATCATTTCCCAGGGCCCAGTTGAAATACTCAAATGATTGTTTTGTGATATTCAGATAATATATTAATTTTAATATATCAAAAGAAGAAAAAAAACTATATTGCCATATCAGGAACGATTTAATTATTGGCATTTTTTTATTAGAAAAGTGCTTATAACGTCCAGTAATACCCATAATAAACCAGCACTTTAATACATTTCTTTCTCTCTCCAGGTAATTTAACGGTGAGGACCTTTGCCGCCTTCAACCCTTCAGCCACATATGAACCGATAGAGATGCATGACTATGGTGAAGGTGGTGATGTCCAACTCAATGGCTCTAGTAAAGGTCGGATTCGTAATATCAACATCTCCAGAAGGCTGGACATCTCAGAGGAGGCGCTGCTGTTTCTAACGGGCCCCGTGTCCACCATCCTCATCCCGTCCTTCTACACGCTGGTCTGCCTCATCAGCGTTCCCATCAACATCTGTGCGGTGCTGGCCTTCGCTCGGAGGATCCGCCCTAAGAAACCAGCAGCCATCTACATGCTGAACCTGGCCTGTGCTGACCTGCTCTTCGCCGTGCTGCTCCCCTTCAAGATCTCCTACCACTTCGGTGGCAACAACTGGGTATTCGGCGGGCTCATGTGCCGTGTGGTCACTGCAGCGTTTTACTGGAACATGTATTGCTCTGTTCTCCTCATAGCTTGCATCAGCGTGGACCGGCTGGTCGCTGTAGTCTATCCCATCAACTCCCTGTCTTGGAGAAGGCCGAGGAATGCAAACTTAGCCTGTGTCTGCATGTGGATACTGTCCCTGGCTGGATCTGTGCCACTCGTCCTCTCCGACCAGACCTTTCACCTCAGAGAGTTGGACATCACCACCTGCCATGATGTCCAACGTGTCAATAAGCTCATCGGGCACTACAAGATCTACTTCATCACCCTCTGCTGCGTCCTCTTCTTCCTGCCTCTGCTCATCACGGTGGTGTCCTATGCTCGGGTGATCTGGGCGCTGAGCAGAGTCCCGCGCGGGGTTCCAGGACGCTCACGCAGAAGATCAAGAGCAGTGGTGATGGCTTTAACCGTGCTGGTGATGTTTGTGCTGTGCTTCACCCCCACAAACTGTCTTCTGTTGGCGCACTACCTGCAGTTTAACGAGGGTGTCGTTCAAAGCCAGGAGGCCCCCGATGGCTCCTACGCAGTCTATCTGGTGTTTATGTGTCTCGGGAGTCTCAACTGCCTCCTGGATCCTATGGTCTACTACTTTGGATCATCCCAATGCCAGCGACAACTTTCCAGCGCGCTAAGGTGTCAGAAGATCACAGAGGGCAGCAGCAGCAGTGAGTCTTCATCCAATTCATGCAGATCCAGCTCCAGGACAATTCTCAAATCCAGCCGTGCAGACAGCTCCAAAATAAGCACTCAGAGCACCAAGATGGACTCTTTCCAAGCGAACCTCCACAGCCAATACAAGAAGCTGCTCGTCTGATGGACTCACATTGAGCAGACTTCCTTGAAGTGACTTAACTGACTCCTACCTGTTTAAAACAGTATTTGACTATGAAGTCCAAGTATTGGCAAACAAAAAGCACAAGTTAATCTGTGGGGTTTATTATTCTAATCATTATAATAAAGGGAAGAGAACTGAACCTCATGCCAACAGAAATTACTTAAAGTCTTGGTTCCATAACAACAGATGTGCAATGACATTCAATGTGCCCTTTGAACGAAGTAGCCTCAGAAAAGGAAGGAAGTTCCGACTAGATAACAACTATTCTGCTGAACAGTTGATACTATGAAGTATATAGCCTTAAAAAAAGGAAGGAAGTTGGAATAAGATAACTCTGCTGAACATTTAATACTATGAAATGTTTTTACTTTTGCACTGTATGTGTAAGAGCTTATGAGTGTATAAGCTGCAAACATTGTTAGTATATAATGGAAGGAAACAACTATTTTTTTTTGTCTAGTGAAAAGCTTATTTTCAAGCACGAAAAAGCTTTCTTAATCATGTCTTACTTTTAAATATAAATAAATTTACCACTTTTTGTGTACCACTTTTGGTCTCTGAATGAATATGTTATATCATCATGTGTTTTAAAGATATCCATAGGCATAGGTTATTTCATGCTGCTCTCTGCGGGTCAAACATTTGAGTAGTTTATCATGTAAAGCAGTCAATTCACATCATTGTCATTCTTCTCCAGCAGGCAGCGCTACTACACTGTTAATAAAATGTAACCTGAAGGATAACCTTTTCACTGTGTATCTGTCTTAGCACAGTCATGTGATAGTGTAAAGGAATACTGACCGAATAAAAACTTCTTGAATATTTCAATACAAGCTAAAACACCACTTTTTCTGTTGGGATGTTATATTTTGCTATTTTCCATTTTTAAATAAGTACAAGTATCAGTTTGTATCCTGTGCAGCTGTCTATCTTGGCCAGGACACCCTTGAAAATGATGATTTAATCTCAATGGGACCTGAGGTTAAATTACTGCTTATTCAATATGAAGGAATTCATTGACAGACTAGTCTAATAAAGAAAGAAACTAGGGGACAGCCAGCAGTTCAAACAAAAGCATCGCAAAACACACGTGTGTGTATTTTTACATGTACCGCAGCTTCTGTTCTGCATTCTTCATTATGTTCACATGTACTGTAAAGCAGTAGAACACAGAAGTAGGTCTGAATAAGACATTAATTATATCATACTTTAGGAGATGAATCATCTTTGCGTTTCAAAGGTGATGCTAACATTATTGAGTAAAAGTAAAAATGCTAAATGTAAAAATACTCGTAAAACACGTAGAAAAACTGCATTCAAAGTCATACTCAAGTAAAAGATCCAAAGTAAATACAAAAATATAGTCAAAGTACTAATAGCAAAATTCCTGTTTTGCAGAATGTCCAATTTCAGACTTGTATATTACATTACCCAATTATATTGTTTGATATATTTATGTTCTCATCACTTTATTGTTGCAGCTGAAAGAAGGAGCTCATTTAAATTAAATTACTAAAGTTACTTCACTTTTACTGTTGGCTTACCTGTGGTACACCATCTTTTGTGGGTTGATTTCGATGTTGTCATAATCTGATTCTGCAAAGTAACTACAGCTGTCAAATAAATGTGGCTTACAATATTTGAGAAGGAGTTGAAAGTAGCATAACATTGAAATACTTAAGTCTTCAAGAGCTCAAAATTGTACCAGAGTAGTTTAGTAAATGTAATTAATAAAATGCAACCATTCTATAATAGAATATTGTAGTATTGCACATATCTAATCAGGGTCTTGATAGGAGGGCAATAAGCACCAAATGTTCATAAATAACACCTAACCAGATGCAATAAATAAAGGTAGAATGAACTGCTTAATATCAAAGTTATTTTAACACCATATTAGATATTATTATAGTGTGTGCACATTATTACCTGATAAACCGGCATCACTCTACTTCCGCCCACCCTATCTCTGTTCCGTGTCACGATACGCTACGTGAAATCACGTGACTGAGTGACATCACACAGGTGTCAAAACAGGTCTATATGAAGAAGGCATGGCAGTAAAGACATCGACATACAAAGCCACACCTGCGGACACTACTCCCTTTTATTTTTTGCAGTCATGGCTGTTAGCACGCAATGTTTTCACCTGTTCCTCCTTTTGTGCTGCCTGCAGACCTGCCTTTCAGAGCAAGGTAAAATCCATCCGTTTATTTCCATCTCTGTTGTTTTTATTATCTTCAAACAATTAACTCAGATAAGATTAGCGACCAGAAAGTGTTTTACTAACCTACATTTTGTCGGCAACAGGCCCCGATTGACCTTAGGCTTGGTTAGTCTTTCAAAACCAATCCGATATTACTCAATAACAAAAGTATATGCAAAGTAGAACGTTGTTAAACCGGATGACTCGTGCTGGAAACCCAAATTGTAATGTAGAGAATAGGCCAAAGAAACTGAGTCTCGTTGTGCAATAAATACATATACTCAAGTCCTTTTAAGTTACATTAAATATTGCTTTATACTTCACTTCATTTTGTAACTAGTTTTTATTACGTTACTTTATTATTTTTCTGTCCGGTGAAACTTTGGGAATTCTTAATGTTTATTGTACACTAAAGGATTTAGTGTTCCTTTAAAAGTTTAAGAAACAATTCCCAACTTCTTAATTGTATCTAAATACACTTTTTAATAACCATTTTGAGCATCTTCTTGAACTTGAATTATCATCACAAAGCTAAAAACATGGCTGCCTGTCTGGTCTCATTAAAAGCTGACTTTACAGGGCTCACATGACAGCGAAGCTACAAATATATGAATGTCTTACGCAATTTGATACATTGTTTTAAACTACACAACATTATATATAGGAGTTTAAAGTAAGCACAACCTTCAACATCTACTGCAGTAAAAATGGATCCTATGCAACCTAATAACACTTTTTTTCTTCTTGTTGTTGCAGAAACTACTTACAAACTTTTAATCAAGTAAAGTTTTAAATGCAGAACTTTTACTTGTAGTGGAGCATTTTCGAAGTGTGCTTTTGGTACCCTTGTGTCATTTTTAACTAAAGGATTGGAATACTTCTTCCAGTCTAACTGAGTTTACATGTAGTTAAATTCATAGTATGTTCCTTCAGGTATTGTTAACCGGTTTTATTTCTGCCTTTATCTGTTTTCATATCATGTTGTGACAGGTAGAGGCTTCATTGGTACAGAGACCAACGACGGGGTGTGGGTCAGCCCCCAAGCCCGAAAAGCCCTGAGCAGCAACCTCACCACGGTCTTCCTCCCCATCATCTACATCATCGTGTTTGCTGTGGGGCTGCCCACCAACGCCTTGGCAATCTGGGTGTTCCTCTTCCGGACCAAGACAAAGCACCCGTCCTCCATCTACATGGCCAACCTGGCGGTGTCTGACCTGCTCTTCATCATCTGGGTCCCCCTAAAGATAGCGTACCACTTCAACAGCAACAACTGGATCTACGGAGAAGGGTTGTGCAAAGTGATGGTGGCCTTTTTCTACGGCAACATGTACTGCTCCATCGCCTTCATCGCCTGTATCAGTGTTCAGCGTTACTGGGCCGTGGTCCACCCGCTGTCCCAGCACCAGAAGGACAACCGTGTAGCCATCGGCATCTCCGTCACCATCTGGTTGTTGGTGTGGCTCATCACCATCCCTCTGTACCTGTACGACCAAGAGGTGCGTGTCACCAACCTCGATATCTACACCTGCCATGACGTCACCAGGCCCAGTCAGAAGAAAATCGCTGCAGGCTACTTCCTGACAATGGGAACTCTTGGATTTGTCGCTCCCACCATCGTGATCATCATATCCTACGTCCAGATTCTCAGGGCTTTGAGGAACAGCATGGCGGACCCTGCCATCGCCAAGAAGCGCAGGAAGGCTGTGGTGTTGATCATCACGGTGCTGGTGATGTTTTTAGTGTGCTTCACCCCCAGTAACATCATGCTGCTGGTGCACTACATTCTCCTGTTGGGAGAGGCTGACAACAACCTGTACGGGTTTTACATCACCACGCTGTGCTTGGCGAGTCTCAACAGCTGCTTCGACCCTTTTATTTATTACTTCATCTCAGAAGACTTCAGGGACCATGTGAAGAACACGTTCCTCTGCAGGAGTGAGAGGACAGTGGAGAGGATGAGGGTCTCCTTCAGTGCCCTCAAATACTCCAAGAAGAACAGCACTTTCACGTCTAGTTCAGAGAACAATCCGACTCAGAGCACCGAGTGCTAGTGCATTGTTTTTTGATTCCTCATTATTAACTTTCCTCAGGTATAAACTAACATGGATTTCTTTGGGAAAAAACTTTGGAGTCATCTGTGTCAAAGAAATCCTACAAGCTCTGAGCTGTCTAAGTTACTGCTTCGGTTATTTCTAATTTTGTAAATATATTTAAATGTTTTTATATCTTAGCACTTTGCTGATGTATTCATCTGCAGTTTTATTTGATTTCAATGGGACTTACAACATTAAACTTTGGTATTTCTTTTTAAATGTGTGTGATATTTTAGACCAGGCTGTTAATTGAATGAATTTGTTGTCTTTGGCAGAGACCTTACATTTTGCATCTTGTATGATACAAGCCTGAAACATGTATTTATCTATATGTGTTTTTAAAGTATCCATTTCAAGTTGTTTAACCTTATTGTTAAAGTTGATCAATAAAAGTTTTTTAAAATGTTTCTTTCATTAGTACTTTCTGTAGACCCTGAAAAGTCTTGAACGGGTATTTCTGAACTCTTAGAAGGTATTTAAAAAAAAAGCATTATATTCTATTTACAAATATCTTGAAATATTTTTCTTTGCCTGCCAGAGTTACATTATAATGTTAGTGACAGCATGTTTTTGTATCCAGTTCCAGTCTGTCAGGAGATGTGTGTACCTCTAACTTAAAGGTAGGGTTGTTATGACAGTGGATGTTTTGCAGGAGGCAGTTTTATCCTTTGTACAATTTGTACTTGGTTACATTTCCTCTGCCTTTATTGTCAGGCAGGCAATTGTAAAGGTTAAGCTACATGTTCCTTTTTTTCAAAACAATGTTCGTATTTAACCTTTGCTGTAACTAGTTTTTATTACGTTACTTTATTATTTTTCTGTCCATTGAAACTTTGGGATTTCTTAATGTTTATTGTACACTAAAGGATTTAGTGTTCCTTTTTTTAAAAAAGTTTTAGAAACACTTCCCAACTTCTTAATTTTATCTAAATACACTTTTTAATAACCATTTTGAGCATCTTCTTGAACTTGAATTATCATCACAAAGCTAAAAACATGGCTGCCTGTCTGGTCTCATTAAAAGCTGACTTTACAGGGCTCACATGACAGCGAAGCTACACATATGAATATCTTACGCAATTTGATACATTGTTTTAAACTACACAACATTATATATAGGAGTTTAAAGTAAGCACAACCTTCAACATCTACTGCAGTAAAAATGGATCCTATGCAACCTAATAAAACTGGAAGTGATCTATTTTTTTTTCTTGTTGTTGCAGAAACTACTTACAAACTTTTAATCAAGTAAAGTTTTAAATGCAGAACTTTTACTTGTAGTGGAGCATTTTCGAAGTGTGCTTTTGGTACCCTTGTGTCATTTTTAACTAAAGGATTGGAATACTTCTTCCAGTCTAACTGAGTTTACATGTAGTTAAATTCATAGTATGTTCCTTCAGGTATTGTTAACCGGTTTTACTTCTGCCTTTATCTGTTTTCATATCATGTTGTAACAGTTAGAGGCTTCACTGGTACAGAGACCAACGACGGGGTGTGGGTCAGCCCCCAAGCCCGAAAAACCCTGAGCAGCAACCTCACCAACAACACTATTGTTAACCGGTTTTACTTCTGCCTTTATCTGTTTTCATATCATGTTGTGACTCAGAAGACAGAGGCTTCACTGGTACAGAGACCAACGACGGGGTGTGGGTCAGCCCCCAAGCCCGAAAAGCCCTGAGCAGCAACCTCACCACGGTCTTCCTCCCCATCATCTACATCATCGTGTTTGCTGTGGGGCTGCCCACCAACGCCTTGGCAATCTGGGTGTTCCTCTTCCGGACCAAGACAAAGCACCCGTCCTCCATTTACATGGCCAACCTGGCGGTGTCTGACCTGCTCTTCATCATCTGGGTCCCCCTAAAGATAGCGTACCACTTCAACAGCAACAACTGGATCTACGGAGAAGGGTTGTGCAAAGTGATGGTGGCCTTTTTCTACGGCAACATGTACTGCTCCATCGCCTTCATCGCCTGTATCAGTGTTCAGCGTTACTGGGCCGTGGTCCACCCGCTGTCCCAGCACCAGAAGGACAACCGTGTAGCCATCGGCATCTCCGTCACCATCTGGTTGTTGGTGTGGCTCATCACCATCCCTCTGTACCTGTACGACCAAGAGGTGCGTGTCACCAACCTCGATATCTACACCTGCCATGACGTCACCAGGCCCAGTCAGAAGAAAATCGCTGCAGGCTACTTCCTGACAATGGGAACTCTTGGATTTGTCGCTCCCACCATCGTGATCATCATATCCTACGTCCTGATTCTCAGGGCTTTGAGGAACAGCATGGCGGACCCTGCCATCGCCAAGAAGCGCAGGAAGGCTGTGGTGTTGATCATCACGGTGCTGGTGATGTTTTTAGTGTGCTTCACCCCCAGTAACATCATGCTGCTGGTGCACTACATTCTCCTGTTGGGAGAGGCTGACAACAACCTGTACGGGTTTTACATCACCACGCTGTGCTTGGCGAGTCTCAACAGCTGCTTCGACCCTTTTATTTATTACTTCATCTCAGAAGACTTCAGGGACCATGTGAAGAACACGTTCCTCTGCAGGAGTGAGAGGACAGTGGAGAGGATGAGGGTCTCCTTCAGTGCCCTCAAATACTCCAAGAAGAACAGCACTTTCACGTCTAGTTCAGAGAACAATCCGACTCAGAGCACCGAGTGCTAGTGCATTGTTTTTTGATTCCTCATTATTAACTTTCCTCAGGTATAAACTAACATGGATTTCTTTGGGAAAAAACTTTGGAGTCATCTGTGTCAAAGAAATCCTACAAGCTCTGAGCTGTCTAAGTTATTGCTTCGGTTATTTCTAATTTTGTAAATATATTTAAATGTTTTTATATCTTAGCACTTTCCTGATGTATTCATCTGCAGTTTTATTTGATTTCAATGGGACTTACAACATTAAACTTTGGTATTTCTTTGTAAATGTGTGTGATATTTTAGACCAGGCTGTTAATTTAAATGAATTTGTTGTCTTTGACCTTACATTTTGCATCTTGTATGATACAAGCCTGAAACATGTATTTATCTATATGTGTTTTTAAAGTATCCATTTCAAGTTGTTTAACCTTATTGTTAAAGTTGATCAATAAAAGTTTATAAAAAGGTTTCTTTCATTAGTACTTTCTGTAGACCCTGAAAAGTCTTGAACGGGTATTTCTGAACTCTTAGAAGGTATTAAAAAAAAAAGCATTATATTCTATTTACAAATATCTTGAAATATTTTTCTTTGCCTGCCAGAGTTACATTATAATGTTAGTGACAGCATGTTTTTGTATCCAGTTCCAGTCTGTCAGGAGATGTGTGTACCTCTAACTTAAAGGTAGGGTTGTTATGACAGTGGATGTTTTGCAGGAGGCAGTTTTATCCTTTGTACAATTTGTACTTGGTTACATTTCCTCTGCCTTTATTGTCAGGCAGGCAATTGTAAAGGTTAAGCTACATGTTCCTTTTTTTCAAAACAATGTTCGTATTTAACCTTTGCTGTAAACTCACTATTTATTGTCACAGTCTTATTGTAGCGAGAGTATAAATCCATTGGAAATTCATAGCTCATGATTTCGTCAGTCACTAGCAAAATGTCTCACTGCCCAATAATAGGATAGGTTTATTAAATTGTGAAACAAATAATTCGATTTTTAGGTGTTCTAAACTGGAAAAAGGTATTTTATCAAGCCCTCAAATGTAGGAGGTGCACAAAGGTTATAGACAACAGTCACATCAAATGACAATGGTGGTCTGTAAAGAGTCCAAAACAGAGGATATTTAGTGGAACAACATTCATAAATGTGTCCATTATATCTAAAATATCTTCATGAAACACGTTCTTATAATTATTTTATTTTATGATTTTGATGGTTACAAATTGATGTGTTGCTTTCCCTCAAAGAGGGGATACAATCTTTTGGATTTTAGACTTTTGGTCGGATGAATAAAGACAGTTTCAGATCACATTGTGACAGATATTTTTGAATATGTTGTATGTTTTAAAATCATTAACTTAAGAAAAAAATTGTCACATGTCTAAGTTGTAAATAATCAATATCTGCTGTGATTCAAGATTCAAATAACGTAGAATGTTCACAAAATGTACAAATTAATTAAAGAAAATATCATGTTCAATTAACAATGCCAAAGCCAATAAAAACATCACTAGAGTCGACTGTACATACCCATTAAAAATAGAGAACACAGAAAAAACTTTTTTAAACCACAGAAGTCAACAGTCTAACGTTAACACTCCCTTTAATGTGAGGTTACATCTCTTACGTTGATCTTATATCTAATGCAGTCTTTATATTACAAAATACTTGTTTTTTTTACATAGTCTATGCAGATGATTGTGCTGCATATTATATTTCTTGCTGTTACTAAAAGATTTAACAGATCCTAAACGTTTTTAAACGTTTTTTTTTAATATGGGTGTCATCATCCAAATTCAATGAATGTGTTTGCGTTTTGTTTTTTTAAATACATTTAGGCTATATTAATATGTAGAGAAGGTGTGAGAAAATAAGTAACACAAAAAACCGTTGCAAACAGTTACTTATTCAATGTTTCCATAGTAACCCACTAAGACTGTCAAACTGCCAGAATGAAGCTAAAATATCTAGTGCTCGTGTGTTTTATTTGTTTTGTTAAACGTATTAATATCTCATCTTTTATATATATTTATTATTTTTGATCTCCTCCCTGGTTGACTCCACAGAAACCCTCATGGGGAAACTACAGCAGGTAGGCGGGTCAGAGATGACGTACAGCCGCTCTACATAAGGTAGTCTCGGGGTGTGTCTCTCAAGGTTGAAGTTAGTGCGACATTTAAGGAGTTGTTAGAAGGTGAATTTATTAAAGAAGAGCAAAGCTGAGAGCGTGTAAACACACAGACATGGATTTAACTCGGTTACTGTCGCTACTTTTGATTTTCTGCTGCTTTTCGGCCTCATGTACAGCAGGTAAGACCGGAAGTTTCTCTCTTTATTGTGTCGAGGAGCCCACTTTACATACAGAGCTCGCGAGACATTACCAGACTCATCTCTAAATTAAGATACATTTACTGTAGTCATTTTTTATTATTTTAAACTAAAAGTTTTAAAAACGGTGTTGTAATAATTAGAGGGAATCTTTGGAAATTGTTATTTTTTACTTTGGGTGGTGGTCAGCTCCCAAACAGACAGGAGTGACGGGAAATGTAGGCACCCCCAGGCATTATCGTAATTGCCATAATATAGGCCTACCTCTTGATATTAAGGAAAAACTGCATATTTTAACTTTTGAACTCCATTATTATTATTTGTATTATTAACCGCTATTGTGGAGTAGTTCATTTGTCATTTTGTATTTTGTTTATTCATTTATTTCTCTGTACAGCACTTTTTTTCCTGTGGTTTCGAAGGGCTTTACAA